CAACCATACGCAAGTTTTCATCGATTTTGTGGACTAAGTTAAACTGGCGCGCAGTGACGCCAAAGGTCAAAAATAAGTGTCATATCCGCTATGATGTCATTTAAACCTCGTATACAAAGTATTATCAATTTTGGTGAGAAAGGTGATGGCGACGAACTCGCGCCTAATGGCGCCGCCAAAACGGCGGCAGCGCCAAAAAGGAACTTGGACCAAACTTCCAAACCGCACCAGTGTGGAGGGTGCCACGTCAGAGCCTGGCGAGCTACGCGTGGCCAAATTTTTTTTCATGCCGAAAAAGTGACAAAGATGGGCTTAATCCTCTTGAATCTAAGGAAACAACTGACAGGGCGGCGTTGGCTGGGACCGCCCGGGCGAGGCTGCAAGAAACACAGGGCGACGGGGATTTGAGTCGCCCAGGACTAGGATGACGATCTGCCAGCCGTATACGAACTGGAGAAGAACGGTTCTGCGGTACGTGCGACAGCAGAGGTATCAGCGGTATGGGCGTCTTCGTCAACACGCACTTGGCCATGAACATCGATTCGTACGAAAATCTGACGACTTGGGTCAAATTTCTGCGATTGAGAAGATGTAGTTCAGCTCCGGCTCTACAACCTCCGCCACCTAGGCATCAACATCCAGTTCACCATACCTTCTCCAAGGTCGTCGTTGGTGATTTCTACGCTAAGGTCGGCCAAGAATAACAACTGAGGAGTTCCACATCGGAACTCATGGAATAGAGTAGAATGAGCAGGGTGAAAGGATGTCCGAGTTTATCACGTCGACCCATACCATGCATAGTGACTCGCGGTTCCAGGAGTTCTATTCTCTGCTCTGGACATGTGAGTCTCCTGGTGGACAATTCCATATTGACATACAATCTACATCATATTCAATCGAAAGTTTTGCCTGACCGATGTCGCTGTTGTTCCTAAGTTCCACACGGAATCCTACCACCATTTTCTTCGCGCAAGACTCAGTTTTTCGATGCGAGGAGAGAGAAAGCTGCAAAATCCGAACGAAGTCCCGACACTGTTATTAGCTGGGGTCACTTATCTTGCTAGGCTTTGGAAAGATTCCATAATCGACAAGATCGACGAGGGACATCAGTGGCTTGTTGAACATCTTTACCATTGCTCCGAGAGATCAGAGAGTTCCAAGGTTACTGAGAAGCATCTATCTCTGTCTGAAGTCTGCGGCCGATTTGCCAACGTGGAGCCGCATGAATTGCTAACAGCTGACGTCGGAGCTCTGAAGCTGCGCAGAGAACTGATAAAAAAGGACCTCAAGATGATAGTGCAGTAGCAGTGTTGGAAACACCAGAGGCTGGGAAGAACATCCGCAGCGTCTGCAGCGACTTCGGCGACTGTGAGACTAAGAATTTCGGACTCCGACGTCCGGGCAGAACAGTCAATGCACCCCGAGGGGCGGTGGAGAAAGCTATCTACGATCTCTACTCTGACCTCCTTGACAGCCACGTCCACATGCCACCGTATCGTTTGGAGCAGGATGGATAAGTCTTCCCTTTAGTTCTCATTTCCAAAGTCGACACGCCATCTCGTCTGTCAATATTTGCACGAGACTCGTTCCCCACACGATTGCGCCGGAACATCTGAAATTTCTTTTGCCCTTTCTCGTCAAAATTCTGGCTAAACTCTTCATGCGCTACTTGTTGGAATGTAAAGTACCCATCTTGTGGATGACCAACAGTACCATGTTGCTGTACAACAAGGGAGGCCTGCACGAAATTGGCAATTATCACCCAATTGCCTGCTGTCTGTAGTCTTCAAACTTTTCGCACGAGTCATCTTGAACAGGATTGGCTGTGCACTAGAAGAAGAAAAGCCATGGGAGCGAGCGGGGTCCCAAGGGAAGTTCAGCAAGATCTACATTTTTTCAAGGTAGGGAAGCTCAATGATTTATCGAAAGGGTATCCGATGCCATTATGTCTTCCCACGTCATCTCCGCCACATGCGCATGCGTGGTTCCATAGAAAAAAAAGTGATAGGGTTTTCCGAGGCAAATGAGCACATTTTGTGGGCTAGCTTTCATGATAAGTGTAGGCTGGCACTCCTTTAGATCTCCCTCGAAAGACTCCAGCTTTGATAAATAGTCACTGCTGCAGGGGAGGGCATTCAGTATATGAAATACGCCTATGACAATGGGATTCGCTCTGACGGATTGGCGCTGCTCATCTGTCCTCCAGGGTGAAAATGTTCGTCGATAATCAGGATTGTAAGAAATTTTATAGATATTTATTGGGTACAGCCTCAGAGATAGAACGCCTTCGTTAGATTCAGATGTAGACCGATTTTTCCACGCGCGCAGTTGAAATCAACCAGCATTCGCTTCGCTTGCTCGTTCTTTGTGTTATTTAAGACGATGTCGTCGGCAAAGCGGAGATGGTGTAGTGCGGAGACCGTCGATCTTCACTCCCATGTCTTCCCATTCTAGTTGACCATGTCTTCCCATTCTAGTTGACGCATGACGTTCTCGAGAGAGGCGCTGAAGAGCTTGGGCGAGATGGTGTCGCCCTGTCGGACCCCTCTCTTCACATCAATGATGATCTCCTTGTACAATGGTGAAATCTTGGTCGTGAAGTTGCTGTAGAGCTCACGAAAAATCCTGATGTACTGAGTAGGAATACCCTTGTTGACCAAGGCTTCGATAACCGCTTCTGTCTCAACGGAGTCGAAGGCTTCCTTCAAGTCGATAAACGTGAGACATAACGGCATCTTGTACTCTCGCGATACTTCAATGAGCTTCGTTACCGTATGGATGTGATCGATCGTGCTAAATCCTCTTCGAGACCCTGCTTGCTCGCATGGCTGTCCTTCGTCTAGTGCTCTGCCAATCCTGTTCAGGATGACTCGTGTGAAGAGTTTGTAGACTGCAGACAGCAGGCAAGTTATGCGATAGTTGCCAATGTCGTACAGGTCTCCCTTCTTGTACAGCAACACAGTCTTGCTGGTTTTCCACGAGGTGGGTACCTTGCACTCCGACAGGTAGCGCGTGAAGAGTCGAGCCAGAGTTTGACGAGAACTGGCGGAAGATTCTTCAGATGTTCGGGTCTGATCCTGTCGGGACCGGGTGCCGTACGATTCTTCACCGACGAAATGGCGTGTCGGACTTCGGAAGAGAGAACTACAGGAACGACATATCCATCCTGCTCCAAGCGGTATGGTTGCAGGTAAACGTGGCTGTCAAAGAGATCCGAGTAGAAGTCGTGGATGACCTTCTCCATTGCCCTTCCGGATGCGGTGATTGTCTCATCCGGACGTCGGAGGCCAATCATTCTGGTTTTACAGTTGGCGAAGTGGCGGCGAGCGTTGCGGGTGTTCTTTCCCGTTTCTGCGGCTTCCACCAGTAGTGCTCTTCTCTCCTTGAGCTTCTGCTTTATCGCTTCGCTGCATAGCTTCGCAAGCTCAGACGTCAATTAACTCAGGTAATTGCCTGCTGCTCGTGCGGCGTCACGTCGGCGAATCAGCTCGAGAATTCCCAGAGATGAAGGCCTCTTAATATTCCTGGAACTCTCTGACTTCTTGCCGCAGTCGTAAAGATGAGCGACAAGTCGCTCGTATTCCTCGTCAATGTTTTCGATAACAGAATCCTCCCAGAGCGCAGTGAGAGAAGTGAAGTGATCTCGATTGATGACGGTCTTGGGACTTCGCTTCTTGAGGTTTGCAGCTCTCTCCCCTTGTATAGAAAAACGGAGTCTTTCGCAAAGAAGATGGTGGTAGGATCCCATGTAGCAGTCAGAACAAACCGATATCGGTTGAGCAAAACCTTCGATTGAAGGTGTTGTGGTCAATCTCATTATGGAATTGTCCACCAGGAGACTCCCATAGGCTTTATATGTTTTTGAAAGCTTGTCTGCACTTCCGCATAGAAAGAGAACTGATGACCGTCGCAGCATGTCCGCATCTGCCATCCATTAATATGCTCTACCTGGAGTAAGTGCGTAGGTCGCTATAGTGTCAGCTTCAGAATCTGTTTCTCTCTGTTGCGTAATGTCAGAGTTGGGAACCACTTGATCAATTTCTACATTTCTGAAAGTCTGTATCGCTCTAAGCGGTTGCGTTTGCAATCTTCGACGTTCATCCAAGTCTTGTAACTTCTCTCGCTGAATGTTTGCAAAGGAAGCGGGGGTCATTGGCAAGGAATCTATCTTGAGTCTCCAATTCTTCTTCGGGGAGCGGCTATCGAGGAATGTGGTATGCTTTCAAGTAAGCGGGTTCCACACTTACAATTTCTCCATCCTGAGAGCCCCACAAAGCCTAAATATTCCACTTCGACAAGATATTCGTAAACTTCGTCGGGTGATTAACGGCAAAACCGAAACCTAAAGAAAACCACACGAGAACTGGATCATTCCTGATCCAGTTCTTCCACGGAACTCTCGGAAGCTAGGACGAGCACAGGATGTGATATGCTCAACGAACGGGGCGATTCGCAAAGCACACACCAGACTACCAAATGGACCATCCGTCGATCCTTGTTCCCGTGAAGAGCCTCCAACAGCAAGACAACCACTACAATCTAAGATCGCGCCAGAACACTCTTTATAAGGAAGATCAACGATCAGAAGGCACAGAAGATGACGAAATTACTGAACCACCGATCGCAAGGAGAAGAGACAACCATCAACATAAGAGAGAAGAATTATCAGCAGAATCATCCCGAGGCGAAACCCAAGGACAAGCTGCAACAACGCCCGCCGCGGAGTGTAGAGATTCCTCTATGAACCCTACCGAACCGACAGCAAATACTTTCTCATCTGTTATCCTCTTCTACCAGCCGCCCACACTCCCGCCACATTCGCTGCACAATGTCTTCAAGCTCAGCCGCTGTTCGCGTTTCTGGTATTGAAAACTTGACGTTCCTGCACAGGAAGTGAACAAGTCTTAGCAGTATGCTGCTAAAATCTGTTGTATATACTTTCGTGATTGGTCGGCTGTTGAGGATTGCCTTTGTCGCTGCCATGACGGTAGAAAGTTGAATCAGTCAGTCTTTTTTTGCCAATCCTCTTCTGAACGGCTCGTTTCACTGATCATACCAGTCGTTTCCAAATACCTCCCATCCAGGGGCATCGTGGACCGAAAGCCCATCGAATCTCTAAAAGCACATTACTGAGTTGCTGCTACAGTGCGTAACAAAAGTATGTGGACACCCCAAATTTTGACTCCACAAGGACACTTTTGACTGTGGTGAAATGGAACCTTCACTATTCAGTTTCTCGGAGGACACTTAAGGAAAATAAAAATACCTTCAAGGTGAACGTCTGGTAGCTTCTATATGATTTTGTACTAGTTTGATCGTTTTATCCGGCATGCTCCTGAATGAGGTTTCTCGTGGTTGCCCCGTGTATAGCGTCGCAAGCAGCAGAAGTTGCCACCTTGAGGTGGTGAACCGCACTGCTTCCGGCTCTTGTGGGAGACATCCTGAGCCTAATCTCCTGATGTTTTCAAAAGGATAGCAGGCAGTAGAACTATGTCACAAATTCTCCATATCAATACTATTGTGCAAAAACCTTTCCTTTGCTGGAAACGAGGCAACTGCTGCCGTGTTCTGCTGCTGTAACATGCAACGCGCAATTCTCATGGAAGAAATGTGGGAGTCGGCCACTAGTTCGTATTTTCAACTTGCTGTGCTTCATGTCAGAAAAGGAGGCTACATTTTTCCGCTCTTTCCAAAGCCATGGCAAACCACATGTGCACCCGATGCAAAGTTTCTTTCCGAGGACATCAGGGGCTACCACTAAGGCTACTAGTGACGAAATCCGTCCGGAGCGTGAATACTGGACTTTTTCTATCTAGGGAGTTTATTAAACTGGAAAGTGTTCATGAGATGCTCTCACTTGACAATTTCTCACCCCCTTATGTGGGGTGAGAAACTGCCAAGCCCTAGTTACCCTATTTCCAAAAAGCGCGCCATGACCTGAAACACCTCCCTTGTAAGTTTTCCGTACCCGAGGAATCGAATAGTGGAGGGCTCATTTCTCCAAAGGCAAAGGTGTTCTGTTCTTGTAGAGTCATAAGTTGGAGTGTCAACATAGCTTCGTTACCCGTTCTTTCCGAACAACTTTTCGATATCCTTTTTACCGATCCTAAAAGTAGTTCCGCAGTGCGTTGTAAAGCATTTCGCTCCAAATGAATCGAATAAAGCTGTACAGGATTGCGCGTGCACTTAAATCCTCACAACTTCGAGATGTACTGCTTTCGTTGTGAGACATGAGTACAAACACACGTACTTTTTCCTCGAGCAGTGAACCTTATGACGTTTCTGACTACCAAATGGAAGACCGTGATACTTTCTGTGGACGACACTCTGCTTTATCTTGGTTTCAATCAATACCGGTCACGTAATACAAAACCCTATCTAAGCATTTGCTCTGTGCCATAAGCTCTGCAAGGTTCCACTAACCAGAAAGGTCGTTCAAGGCGTGCCCCGCTCTTCGAAACGGTTTATTGCACTTTTAGGGCCTTAGTAACCATAAAAGTGGGCTTCGTTTTGGCTGAGCGGCCCCAGGAACGCCAAAAAAGGAGCGAAAGGTACGTCTGTGTGCCCCCATATGAGGGACGTTAAGCGCTATACTGCCACCAAATTGCGTCGACGTCGAAAATAAGTGTCAAAATCGTAATCAGGACCATCGATTACCCTCATGGACAAACTTCCAGCCAAAAAAAGTTTTTTTCGATTTTTTTTGGGTTTTGGTGGACCTTTTGATCGGCAGCGGTGACCGGAGTATCCCATCTTCGTAAAGACGAGATGGAGCGACGACGTAGCAGGCCGCCGGGCAGGAGAGCGGACCTGGTGGAATGCCTCCCTTTCCTTCCTCTTTGCATGAATTTCATCTGCATTGTTATTTTATCTTTGGATATTGATAAAATAGGGGGGGTATCTATGGTGAGGCACTGTAGACTTCTATGGAAAGACTGTCAGGCACAACCCAAACGCACACACCCAAAAAAGTCGAAAAAAATTTTTTTGGCCGAACGATTGCTCACAGGGGTAATCAATGGCTTCGATCATGATTTTTTTCGGCGCCCGACGTAATTTGGCACCTGGGTAGTGCCACACATCCCTTACTTGTGTGTAGCCATTCACTGGGAGAAACGTGTCCTCCATATTAGCGATAAATGGCACCGTAGCTACAAATAAGTTCCATATTCGTGATTCGGGCATGGTCTGACCTATAAAGGTCACCTTTCAATTACGGTCTTGCTTGATGGTATGTAAAACCTGTAATAATTGAATAGCACTGATTATGGAGTGTTCCCATTTAAAATGTGACCATAAATGGCAGTGATCGAATGCATACTCACGCACGGACATATTTGAACGCGAAAACAGCGAAATATAAAAAATGCAAAAACTCCACGCCGAGGGGAGTCGAACCATAAACCCCAGTCCCACTGTCCGCTCGAGAATCCTCCACACTATCCACTAGGCCATCCGATACTCGGCTCAGGAAACTCGTCCAGTGGGGCGCCGGGTGTGTCTGTAGGTTCTCTTTTCGTACAACACCGCGCGACGACCCCGCCCTTCGCCGCGGAAAACTCGTCCAAACCCGCTTTTTGTCAAAATTTCCGATTTTTTGGATTTTTTTCAAAAATTGGCTAGCTCCCTCACTTCGAGCTAAGCCTAAGCCTAAGCAAATTTTGAGCCTAAGCGAAGGTTGTCATTAGGTCCGCTTGTGGGAAACTCCGCCCACTTTTTTGAGCTGCCCCGCTCAATCTCGTGCGGTCACCGCTTATCCCTTTAAGAAGTAGACTGGACATCCAGCCACTAGTTAGCAGGCTAGAGTCTCGCTCGTTATCGGAATAAACCAGACAAATCGCTCCACCAACCACCGAACGGCCATGCACCACCAACCACCAAATCGAGAGATAGCTTTCAATCTGTCAATCCTTACGGTGTCCGGGCCGGGTGAGTTTTCCCGTGTTGAGCTGCAATTAAGCCGCAGGCTCACTCCTGGTGGTGCCATTCCGTCAATTTCTTTAAGTTTCAGCTTTGCAACTATACTGCCCCAGGAACCGAAAGACTTTCGTTTCCGGGAAGCTTCTCGACAAGGCAACAATACCCCATCGGATCGCTAGATGGCATAGTTTACGGATAGATGTCAATATAATTCAGTTCTTATTTTCAATCAATTGTTTAACTATTGTTTTCACAGACTTTCTTATAAACATATTGAAGGTATGAAGAAAGTATGAATTCTGCTTTTTCGACTTTTTTGAACTTTTGCTGCTTCTCACACACATTCTAAACGGATCGGTAGCATCACAGAAAGACTCGTTTACGGCTCATTTTAATGAAGTTTCAATAATTGATCTTTTTTCAAACGTTTTTGACGTACACTTTCTCTTTCATCCTTCCTTTCACATTCTATCTTCCCAAAACGGATGCACCCATGGCGGTCAACGGACAACTGAAACTCAGTTCCTTTGAACGCGTCGAAATTTTGTGTTTCTTCGCTCTCTCTGCCCGCTTGGCGCTCTATGGTCATTGTGACTGCGCACATTCCAGCTTTTCACGTGTGATGAGTGACTCACCCACTCCAAAGTCCCTTCCCTCAAAAAAGCTTGTTTCCTGGCTTACCATAGTTTCCTGCACGTCTCGATGCTATGGCAGGCGCTGTCCTCTGTCTGGTGCGTTTCTTGGTTTCGCAACAGGACCATGTACGAAAGTTCAAGATGTCGACGCCCACGTCGCGTCCCTTTGCGGAACTTTGAAATTTTCTTCAAAACCTTCGGCACTCAAGGCTATGCAGGCAGCCCCACCCATTTCACACAAGTTCCGCCTACTTTTGAAAGATGATCCAGAGGCGCTCTAGAGTCCGAACTAATGGGTTATGGTCCCCCTCGTCACTCGGAACGAATATACTGCAGATAGTAGACACCACATCCGATCGGCGTTTATTGGTAGTCCGGTCTGTTCCAAATGTATGATGTGAGGAGAGATTGCTTTAAGAGCTTCGCGGCACTCCTTGGATTTCCGTGAGCTCGCGGTAGTGGTCCGATTTTGTTGATCAAGATGTCTGCGATGCTTGCGGACCTATCATAGCGTTTCTTCGGTAAGTTGACAACAGTGCGCACTTCTTCCCATGACTGGGATGCTGTTGATTGAAACAGCCGCTTCTCCTTCGAGAGCTTGCTCAAAGAATAGGAGCTTTTCCTGGTTGCTCAAGTCGTTGTCGTCATGAATGAGCGACTCGAAGACAGAACAAAATGTGCTGAACTCCCCGTAAGTTAGGGACCTCCAGTAGTGGGTGTTTGACTCTAACGTTGCGTCCTTGTGGGGTCATGGCACTAATTAAGATTTCTTGGTCGTTGCTGGTGCCACTGCTGACTGGCTGTTGTTAGCTTGAGATGTTGTCAGCAGAGCAGTTTGCAGTAATAATTCCTTTTCTCCAAAGTCGATTCTGTTCAGCCATTGTATGACGGAAATTTCTAGACCGTTGTATTCAGCCTCTTGATACCTATTCAGGTCTGGCATTAGTCCTTCTCGTTCCTTGTGCTCTGTCCGTGCATTAATCTTTTCGATTCATGGAATTGCTTTGCTGCTTTGATGGTTCTGGAGGAACAAATATGTTGTTTTCTCTCCAATATATGCCTTGCATTGTTATTTGTGAAAGGAATGCGAAGGCTCGATTCAGCCTGCTGACTCAGGATGTTTGAAAAGGGCGTTAGCATTTGTGATTTTTGTCTCAAACACTTGAGATTTGACTATTTTTGTAGGTTTAGCAACTACTCAGAGAGCCAATTTGAATTTTTCTTCTTTTGCAATTCGAGGCGTTACAACGACTTCTTGAGCCTTCGCTGATTCCGCAGTAGAATTGCTCCTGCCGTGCGAGTCTTTCTTCTATCGGTCTTGGGTTCCTCGTTCGAAGATTCGCCCAAGACCTGATTTTCACCCTCTGGTCCCTCGGTCGAGGCTGTCAGAGTACCTTCTTTTTCTTTGTTGGGTAAGAACCAGGATTCCTTTATGATTCCTCCCAAGAGAACTCGCAACGAAGGACTTGTTCTGCTCTATAGACTCTATATGAAGAAGTCATTAAGAAAGCTTAGATCTGTATTTCAGTTTTCTCCGGAGAGCACTCGCAATGAAGAGCTTTGTCGTTAACGTGGGCTCCCGTCGGGTTTCTCCAAACAGAACCCCCCCCCCCGAAAGGAGTAAAGACTTCGTTCTTTGGGTTCCTCCGGAGAGGACCCGCAAAAGCAGGGATCTTCGGGTTATTCCAACAACCGATGTCCAATTTGGCTGGTTGACCGAGGTAATAATCAGTTAGAAGGTGAAGCGGGGTGAAAGGGCTCACCGCGCCTCCGGGGTGTTTGAGGTGCGTACTTGATTGCACGCTCATGATAAATGATTTAATCATCTCAAATAGTGCTTATCTACTCGGACGCATAAGGTTATTGTCCTGAACTAGCACACTATCGTTCAATCCTAGAAGATGATAGTGATATGTGAAAGTTTGTGAATCCACAACACTGTCCTCCGGGAGATCTTTTTCCGCAAGCTTCTACTAAGCCATATCATAGAAGTCCGCAAAACCCTCAAAGGACACTCACGTTCAATCAGTATTTTCTAGAATAGCTTGTTTGAAGTTCTGCCGGACTTTCTTCTGATCTTATCTATACCATTTTCACTTGAAATCCATGACATTTCTAATCAGATTCATGAATTGCCTGATTTTTTGTTCCGTGTGACGAGTGAGACC